TTCAGTGCACAGTAAAGCTATAGAGACCAAAGACAGTTCCCATGTACCTCTCACCTCTTAACATCTTACACAGCAGTTGGTTCACCAAAACTAATGACAGCACTGACATGTTACCACCAATTAAACTCTCGATTCCATTGGTGTCACTTTGGTTTTCCCACACAGGTGTTCTGGTCGCATCCCAGAAGTCAGGTTGTGTATGTTGTCAGATTCCCTTAGTGTGTTCTTATCTGTGACATATCCTCTCTCTCCATGTGCTTCATGATTTCTTACCCTTGAGAAAATTCATCAAGTATTGTATTAGTCAGGTGTTGCTGTGATAAATACCTTGACCAAAAGAAACTTGGTGAGGAAGAGTTTGTTTGATAATCAGAGTCTATCATGAAGTAAAGGCCAGATAGTAACTCAAGGCAGGATCATGGGGGCAGGAACTGAAGCAGAGGCCACAGAGAAATGCTGCTTCCTGGCTTGCTCTCCATGGCTTGCTCAGCTTGCTTTCTTACATAATCCAGGATCCACTGCTACCCACAGTGGACTTGTAAGAACCTTCTTGCTGACAAGGACTCTTTGTAGGTAGAGCAATGCATCATAGTGGTTGAGAGTCTTTCCCTATCCCTTGTCTGGAAACCTCTGCCCTACCTTCTAGGAGGTAACCACTGCTTTGTTATCCCTACTTCCTGTTATATATTACTTTTGTCTATTTCCAGAATTTAATGTAACCAGAATCATGCAGTTTGTTCACTCAACTTTTTATGGTGTACTCTCATTTACCGATTCAATCCTTCAGTACAATAAAATGAAATGAATGAGCTATGGATACAACAATCACTAGAGACAGCTCTCATTATCCATTCTGAATGACAGAAGCCAGACACAAAAGAACAAACACATAGTGTATAGTTCAATTTCGTCAACATTCAAAAGAAGTAGACAGTAATTTATAGAGTTATAAGCCAGGACAGCAGCCAGCATTGGTCAGAAGAGAGGAAGTAGAGGCTGACAGGGAAATTGAGATCACATTCTGTATGCTGGATTGGGAACACCTTTCCCACTCTTGACTTGGGAGGGGGTTACACAGGTAAATCTACTTTGCACTAATTTCCTGAGATATAATTTAAAATCCATGCCTCTGTTTTTGATACATTCTATATTGTTACCGTGTTTTAAAAATAAGATCCTAGAAATGAAAATATTTGAGTTCTTGCCCACCAATTTTGTATGCATGTATGACAATAATATATACACTTGTTATTTGTTGATAACTCCAAAGGGTAGCAGGCAAGCTCAGTCTCCTGCAAGTCAACATTTCGGATGTTGGCCAGAACTGGGAGATCCACTTGTAAGATGGTCCATTGAACATGGTTGTGGCTAGGGAATCTCAGTTTTTCCCACTGTGAATCTCTTCAGAAGACTGCCCAAGGACCTTCATACTATGATAGCTGGCTTTCTCTAGAGCAGGTGACTTGAGAGATCTCAATATGTTTTCCTGATTAATACATATCATTTATGTGTCTCAGCACTACATTCTTTTTTTCTAATTTGCCACTTATGAAAAATCATAGTTATTTATCTGTTCTTCTACTGGTGGATACCTGGGCTATCCCAGAATGGAGCTTTTCTACAGGGGCTTCCTATAAGGATTATTGTGAACATGTGATTTCATTTCTGTTGGGTGGAAATGCAGGATTGTGATCATTGGGTTGAAGGACAGGTGTATGTTTAGTTTTTATAAACCTTGCCAGATAATTTTTACTACTTCACATTTCCACAGCAAGATTAGAGAGTTATCATTACATTATATCCTCATATCACTTACCAGTAGCTGATACCATCACTTAAAATGTTAGCTGTTCAGATGGGCACACACTGGCATTGCATTATGGCTTTAGTTTGTTTTTCCCATGATGCCTGTTGATACTGAAATTCTCTTCTATGTTTACTGGTCATTTGTATATCCCTCTATGTGAAACATCTGTAGATCTCTTGGAGTGTGTGTGTGTGTGTGTGTGTGTGTGTGTGTGTGTGTGTGTGTGTGTGTGTGTGTGTGTGCTTCTGTGGAATTTTATCCCATGTGTACGGACAACACTACAATCAGGTGTACAACATTACAAAGTAACTCCCTCGTGTTTCCTCCCATAGAGTCAATCTCTTTTCACAGCCCCAAAATCTAGCAGCCACTGAAGTATTAATTCATTTTCATAAATTTTGTCATTTGAGAATGTTATAAAATGGCACTTGTACAGTATTAACCTTTTTGAGATGGGCTTTTTACACTCACCTTTGAGAGCCATCCAAAGTGGTGTTTATTTTGTATCACTGTATGGATATAGCACAGTGGACTTGTCCACTCCCCATGTGAGAGACATTTAGATTGTCTTCAGGGTTTTTTCCCATATGGAAAATGTTTTGTAATCAGATTTTTTAGTTAGCATAGAAAATAGTGGATTTCATTATGACATTCTCATGCACATATATTGCTGTACCTTGCTCACATTTGCCTCTTGCTACCTTACTCCACCCCCTCTCTGATTCTCCTTTGCCCCAAGTGTTCCCAGCCCTCCACCCAGAGTTAAACCTAGATTCTGCATTTGTAATATTGTGCCCAGTTTTTGATGGTTACAAACAAGCTGTTATAAATATTTGTGTACAGTTTGGGTTTTGTTGTTTTTATCTTGGGTGGATACATAGGAGTGGAATCATGGGTTGTATGAGAACCATGTTTAACGTTATAAGAAACTGTCAAACTTTTCCAAGTGGCTGTACCATTTCACAATCCCAACACCAGTAATGAGATATTCAGTGGCTTGGCATCCTTGCCAACACTTGGCATGATCTTTCTTTATCTTAACAGGCATGCGTGATTCCACTCTGTTCTCACTTAGAACTTTGTGCCTTGGTCTTGCTTTATGAACCGTGCTTCCTGGAGAGATCTCTCATTTTGAGAGTTCATTACTGCCTCTACAATGCTCCCTTCCCAGAAACTCCTTTATGAGAACAGGTGGAACCTAGTGTCTTTGACTTTAGTTCCTGCTGGTTACATGCTGTAATGCAGAGAACTTTCAAGCGTGTTCTTGGTAATTGGTTGTATTCTTCTTTGAAGAACAATCCCACACAGAACACTGGTATCTGAGTCAGATGATGAGGGAACTGCAGGGGTTACAGGTGAACCCTGTCTGCCATGTCACTGCTCTGCATGACTGACCCAAGATGTTCCTGAGCATGCCAAGCCTGGCTCCTAATTCTGGCATGAATGCCATTGACTCTTAAATTAGCAAGTTTCTTATTTCTGTGGGGCTGCTGTATGTAGAGTGAGACAGGGGGGCAATATCTGTCGAACATCTCCACATTCTACAAAATCAGGAAAACAGAATAGGAATTATAGCTGTGAAAATAATAAGTAAGTTGCTGGGTATGACTTCTCTACATTGCTCTACAGACAGTATTTGAAGTAACCAACAACGGTCTTTAAATGAGGAAACTAAGCTCTCAAGCCTGCATGTGCCTAGAGCGTTAGCGTGCCTGTGACTGTCTACAATCTGGCTTACCCGCTGCATAGCTTCTAATTCCTCTGCTTTAAAGACTGCCAGTCATTTAGGGGGACTGTTGTGGTAATGATAAACACTCATGTTTCCCGGTGTTCCCTAATGAATTTTCATCTAGCTTTGACAGTTCACGTGAAGAACAAGTTCCATCTAGTGGTTGTTTTAAGTACATGCTTTGAAATGGGATTTATGGGCCAACTTGAGAGTGCTCACATTTACGGTCAGACCTGATGACCTGGGTTGACAGAACCCATGTGCCGAGTTCCAGGCCAGCAGCCTGGTCTCCCGAGCCAGTAGACAGCCAGGACTACATAGAAAAGAAAGAAAAGGGAGAGGACACAACTCTTCAGACCTAGCACTTTCTCATACAGTTCACAGACTTGCTCTCTATCACTTACTCAGGTCCCATCAGATTTCCATCAGAGAGGTGGTTTTTTTAAAAATTAATTTTAGCTACCATATTTTTCAGTTCTGTATCTTCTACATAATACCCACCCTTTAAAAACAATATATTTCTTTGGTGAGATGTTTTCCTATTTGTTTTAAGAGAGCTTGAATCTGCTTATTGTAATATTATTTTGATGCTTGTTTTAAAATCATGACTCTAATATTTCAGAGTCTTGTATTGCCACCATACTCAGAGGCTAATATCAACCCTGGGTGAGGCTCTTCTTGGCTCCCACTGTGATTTGCATGCAAATAGTAGATGACACATAGGAACCTTCCTCCTAGTTTTAGGCTTGCTGGGAAATAAACGCCAAGATGGAACTAGACATGCCAGAGACTTAATGGAAGAAAATACTTGTGAAGGACAAAAGTATTGGGGAATTGGTGAAAGATACCTCCAAAATACAGATGGGCAGAATGAACCCTGTGATGGGAGACAGGAGGGAAGAGTGCTTCTTGGATAGTCCCAGATATAGCATAGCCTAAGTCTTTGCCACAGTTAGGACAGAATGTGGGTGAGATAGGAGAAGAGCAGAAGTTTCATACTGGGCAAGGGTAGTTTTGACACTACTAGGACCTTGTCAAGCTCAATCATCTGCCTGGACAGCCAAATAGGAGAGCAACTTCCCAGTGACTCTGAACTCATTCAAAGGCATAACATTGTAGTCAGAGAGTCACTAATTTGACCCTGAATAACCATCCCCACACTATCACATCCACTTCTTATACCACACAGGTTCTACTCTCTGGCCCAGTCTCCACAGAGTCTGCCTTCGGGTCTTCCAGTCTACGAAGCATCTGCAGTCTTTAAAGCTCTGTAGAGGATCGACGGAGGGCAGCAGCTTCATTTTAACATCATCTTATCAGGAAACCCTCTCCTTTCTCCTTCCCGCTGACCTCAGGTGTTGTTATACACACAGGACAAAAACATCTGTTCCCTCAGAGCTCTGGGTTCAGTTCTGGCAGCTGACAGACATGTCCTAATGCCTATGTGGTTTGTGTTGTGTGCAGGTATGATTTAAGTTTGGATGAAATGAGAGATTTGACCAATCAGCGGGTGAAGTTTGTCCTGAGTCTCCCTCTGCTAAAGCATATACTCCAGGAACAGGTAAGTGACATCATTAGTTTTGCAGGAATGTGCATGTGAATATGTGTATCTGTTCTCTCTCTCATGGCCTGAAGTACTAACAAAGTTATTATAACATGGAGTGTGTTCTGCAGCCCCTTTCTGCCTCAAGCCCCAGACTGGGTCAGTTTTCTTCTTCCCAGACTAGAGAAGAAAAGAATCACATAAGTAACAAAATGTCCATTCATAGGCTGGGCGGTGGTGGCGCACACTTTTAATCCCAGCACTCGGGAGGCAGAGGCAGGCGGATCTCTGTGAGTTTGAGGCCGGGCTGAACCGACAGCCTCCAAAACAATACAGAGAAACCCTGTCTCATAAAAACAACAACAACAAAAAAACCCAAAAAAACAAAAACAAACAAAAAAAACTGATGTAACTCAGGACATCAAATAAAAATTGCTGACAAATGAGAAACAAATGGTTAAAAAAGTTTGAAACATTTTAGATTTATCCAAAGTTTATGAGTCTTGGTCATCTAAAAATTGCCATTTTTATTTCACCGATACTGTTTTAGTCTGCTTCCCTTCATGATATAGAAGGAAAGGAAGAAAGATGACGAGATGGGAAGTTTCTTCTGTAATGCTAATGTTAGAAACCATATATTTCAGTAGTTCTAAACCCACTTCCCTTTCCTGCAGCTCAGTGGCTTCCTTAAGACTTCACACAGGGAGAAGGTATTTTCTTTCAGGCGAGAGCCACAGGGGAGGGGCCTGAATGCAAGCAGACCAGTGTGGGAGAGGCCGAGAGCTGCGAGTCCCTAGCAGGAAACTCAGCCTCTTTTCTGCCCAGGGAGTGACTGAAGATTGAGAGGTGGGGTCGTCCTCTCGGAATCTCTCATGGAGTGTCAGTCACAGCTGGAGTAGGGCTCAGATCCAAATGAGAATACATCCCCCAACCTCCCACCCTCCGAGTAACCATCCTGAGGGCTGACTCCAACATTTCAGGAGGGCATTTCAGTGCCTAAACACAACTTCCCCTTAAAGTCGTCAGCAACCTTGAAGCTGAAGGCAGTGCCCTGCAGTGGAGAACATGTGGAAATATGCTTACTTGGAAAAGACAACCTCCCACAGAACAGAGCACATGGCTGGAAAAAGCAAAATAAAATCGTGTTTTATTACAGCCATTGCTCAAGATTTTAGAGCTAACAAATTGCAATCAAGATACACTTAGAGCTGTGAGTATACCTACCCCCCAACCCCCTTTCCCCATTGTAGTTATTTTTTGATTGGCAACTTATAAAAGGAAATATTTAATTGGGGGCTCACTGTCGCAGAGGGTTAGAGCCCATGGCTGTCATGGTAGGGATCACGGCAGCAGGCAGGCAGGCATAGTGCAAGAGCAGTAGCTGAGAGCCTACACCTTGATTCACAAGCACAAGGCAGAGAGAACTAGCAGGGAATGGCTTTTGAAACCTCAAAGCCTGTCCCTCCCCATGACACACCTCCTGCAACATGGCCATTTCTTTTAATCCTTCCCAGAGAGCTCTACCAACTGGGAACTAGGCATTCAAACATACGAGCCCATGGGTGCAGCCCCTTTTGCTTGCAACCCTGTCATCAGAGACCAGGATTCAGTCCTTCACTGATGGGATGGCAGACTCCTGGCCCCTCAACCAACCCTCTACCCCCTTAACCAATCCATTATACCTGGAGCTTAAACTAATGCCAATACTCAAGACACTGATGTGGAAGTTGATCCTGTAATGAAGTTTGATAATGGCTTTCTTGCCTGCTGAACCTGGAGGATTAACCTTTGTAATAAAATTCTTAATGAAGTATGCTAAACCCTGGATTCAGTTCTCTTCCTGTTCGGATAACTCCCCCAGTGGCTTTAGGCAGTCTGGATCACTTTCTGTCCTGGATGAATGGATCTAATTTTTCCATGAGGCACAGGATTAGCCCTGGAGTATCCTTCTGGTTAGCTATTTTGACACGTTTGGCTCCTCTCTCTGTGTGAATCTACAAAAATCAATGAAATCAAAGGAAAGCAAACTAGTTGTCAGTACAGCAGGCTCATCTCATTGGGCAGATATCATGAGACTTGGCAGTACATCTGCATTTGAAGGTTCTCAGATCCCACCCTTAGACAGCTGGACAAGCTGTCTACATCCCAGAATCCTAGAAGTGTTATATGATTCATTCTGCCTCTCAATAAAAAAATATTGAGTCATGTCTGTCCTGCCCATTCAGAATGCATACCGGGCCTTTCCATCTTTCCCTGGCCCCTGTGCCACATTGCTGTTAACTCTCATGGGTGAGCCAGTGAGCTCAGAGGCAGAGTGCAAGTGTAATGATAATTTTGTAGGCACACATGAGTAGGGAGCCTCACTTGTTCCAGTTCTCCACGGACCGTTCACAAGCCAAGAAAAAGCCATTAAAAGTATTTCCATTCTGTGTCTTCTCTCTAAGACAGAAATGTTTCAATAATCTTGAAGGGGAAAAGCATTATCTGAGACCAATTAAAATGTGTGTGAGTGTGTGTTTCTCTCTCCCTGCTTCCATCCCTCCCTCCCTTCATGTCTCTCTCTGTATCTCCCTCTGTATCTGTGTCTCTGTATGTTTCTCTTTCTGTGCTCTGCCCCCCCATATACATAGAAACACATAGGATACACAGTGTGAACACCATCATTGCATACTGTACTGGTACCTCCTATATTGATTTCTAGTAACAACAGCTTTGTGTACCTCAGCCAAGAACTTTCTTGTCCCCCAGGAATTTCAGGATTGGGTCCTAGGTGGAGGAACTGCTGACTCCATATCCCAATGAAGAGATTAAAACTGGGGTGATTGTCTTTGTGGCAGGACTGGAATGGGAGCTTTCATTCCTTCCTTTGGAACTGTTATAGTTTGAATGTGAAATATACAGGCTCATGTACTGGAATCCATAGCCCTTGACTGAGTTTTATTTTGGGATGTTATGAAACCTTTGGAACACAGAGTCTAGGTGGTGGACATAGGTCACTGGGGCAAACGTTGAGGGTTACAACCAGACCATCTTCCAATCCTGTTCTTCTTTAGATCCTGGTCCACTCAAGCTCTTGCTGCCATGAACTCTGCCATGCTTTCTTTGCCTACCCTGATGAGCTGAAACCATGAGGCCAATAACCCTCTTCTTCAAGTTGTTTCTGTCAGGTGTTTGTCATAGTGGGAGAAAAATAACTAATAAGGAGCCTGGTCATGGGTGTGGTAGCACCTTTAGAGACACTTGCCCCTGGAAGCTGATAGAGACAAACTTAAAAGCTGATAACAAACTTAAAACTTATATAATTTGTAGCAACAGCATTAAGGACTTTAAATTGGTAATTGTGCTAAATATTCCTAACTTTATTCATGGTGTACCCAAGTACAGGTAAAAAAAAAAAAAGAAAAACTGACGCTAGTAATTGACTTGAGGTGAGTTGGGTCAATTGTACGTGGAACTCATAGAATGTAGATTCAAGTTCAGGCCATTGACTTACTAGGCTTTTCAGTGTGATGCTACTATACATCACAACCAGCTGGGGAGCATTAAAAATTCTTCTAACAAGCCCCCATCCCTGACCCAGAAACTATCTCCACTTAGTAACTTCTCTCAAAGTAAAATTAGCTTTTTCCAATGGAACCTCACTGGGTATACAAACAACACTTAAGGGTAGGCCCCATGCCCAACAGTAGATGGTTTTTTTCTTTTAATTCTTTGTCTGGGCATTTAGAAAACAAACCTCTTTTGCTTATATATTATGATGTGGTGATATATTGTTTATGATCTAATAAAGCCACTGAAGATCAGAATGCAAAGCCAGTCACACTAGTCACAGACATAGAAGCTGGGCAGTGGTAGCACACACTTTTAATCCTAGGACCCAGGAGACAGAGGCAGATGGATGTCTGTAAATTCAAGACTACCCAGAGCTACATGACAGTGAACCTGTCTAAAAGATAAACAGATCTCACACCTTTAATCCCAGCACTAGAGAGATATATAAGATAGGAGAAGCAGGGCATTCAGTAGTCAATATCCTGGCAATTAGTGTGTAGTCACATTGAGATCATGATTGCCCCAGCCTTGGTAGAAGTAAGAACTCTCTGGTAGCTTGACTGCTTTGCTTTTCTGATCTTCAGTTTGAACCCCAATATCTGTCTCCTGGTTTTCATTATTCGTGCTACAAATTGACTTTCTGTCTCCAGCCATGCTAAGGATTCATGGAGTCAGGTAAGAGCTAGTGACTGGCTGCTTTGCTTCTCTGATCTTCAGTGTCTTTATTATATCATAAACAATATATTACCACATTATGGTTTCCATTTTGCATTTGTATAGAATGTCTGTGTGTGTTTCTGAATTTGTATTGTGTTTTTGTGCCCCCCATTTGTTTCTATGTTTTGTCCTAGTCTGGTTTGTTTTTACTTTATATTATTATTTTATATTCCTGTTTGTTTTCTAATGAGAGAAAGAAAGGGTATGGATCTGGGTAGGTGGGGAGGAGTTGGGGGAGGAGAAACTGTAATCAGAATATATTGTATGGGAAAAATCTATTCTCAATAAAAAATTTCTTCCATTTAGACTTTTGCCCTGACCAATGAAATTAGCATTTAAATCCATCAGGTGATTCAGAATGCACCTGGAATTTAATACTTCTATCCCACATTTTCTTCCTGGGACCCATGTAGTATTCTACCTTACAGTATTGTTCTCATTAATCAGTTGGTCTTTCATCCAGTCACGGTGCAGGGATGGCTCATAGGGACATTCTAACTCAACAATTACTTCTCCCAGGAAGGAAGCAATTGGGGGACAGACTATTCTTGGCCATGTTTGGGTCTGGCTGGGGATAAATTCTTGGATAATGAAATACTCACCCCTCACTTATACCATCTCAGCTGAGACTGAAAGAAAACTTCTGATGGGCGGTGGTGACACACGCCTTTAATCCCAGCACTTAGGAGGCAGAGGCAGGTGGATCTTAGTGAGTTTGGGGGTAGCATGGTCTACAGAGTGAGTTCCAG